TTTTTTTGCCGAAAGTTTGCTGAGATTAATTTTTGGTCGATTAATTGTTTCAGCAATTAATCTTTATTTCTGTTTCTTCGGGAGCACCAAACCAAATTTTAATCAAAGTTTAGAGAATGATGAAGAGTTAAAGGGCTGCTTTTCTTCATCAGTTGTTCTGTCAGGAGCTGAATCTGATGAGAGGGGATAAACGTTGGGGCTGAACATGGGGCCTGAAGTCTATATTTTAGGAGTGGAGGGAATTCCCCTCATTGCATGCCTCCATTGGAGCAGGGTGGGCTGTAGAGTTTGAGTCTGGGCTGATTGAGTGGCTGATCCCTGCAAAGACAATACATAAAACAGAAACCAGTCTGGTAAATCAAACTGTGCTAGCTTCTGCTTGAGCATCTTCTCAGCACTGAGGTCCATGTCGGCACATGTTGAAGCCTGTCTGTGTTTGAAACAGTGGGGGGCGCTGTAGTCCTGCAGGGAGGATGCATAGCTCCAGATGTTGTCTTGATTGTTCTTCTAGTCACTCTGCACCGCTGTCCTGAACGTTATTGGACCTCTGTTTGTGGGGATTTCTTGCAGTATAAGTGAAAAATTTATGTATAACTCTTTTTAAGATGATCTCCTGATGGCTCCAAAATGAGGCAGAGCAGACTGTGATTGCATGAAGCTTTGTTTGAGGGTGCTAGACTGTTGATTTCAGATCTGAATCCAGACTGTTGCTTCAAGAGTTTAGCAGCTGGCTCCATGTCAGTAGGTCAGACTTTTACTGGTTCGTAAAGAAGCTCAACATAATCTATAAGAACCAAACATCTATTAATAGATTTGTTGTTTATAATAAGTCTGTGTCTGTGAAAACGAGTCCCAGATATCCCATTTATTTTAAAGCCAAAGCTAGTAGAAGGTGTGGTGTTCTGCATGCGACTGGCATTCCTGCTACAGGGAGATGCTGCTGCATGCAGCCTGTAACAAAGCCTCCAACAAGTCATTTAAAGCTTCATCAGTTTCTCTGCTGTTGCTGTGTTTAAGACGAAAAGGTGGCGTGTGGGAGCAGCACAAATTTTTGCTTCAGTTTAAACGACTCCTGCAGGCAGTTTGAGGTAACACTTTTGACTTGTGAATGTGGAAACACTGTGAGAAAACTGCTCCTCAGTGAGGTTTGTTTCAGCTTCACAGGGGAACCCCGTCTGAAATGCTTTATTACTGGCCAAAGGTCGTCAGGTCATCTCTCACGTTGAGGGATTTTTGTGGTGGCTGCATAGTATAAAGTGTTGCAGCACTCAGTTTGAAGTTGCTGTGTTAGGACGAGTGCTGGAGGCTGATAGTGGGCCTGTGGGGGTGGGCGGTCCATCTATGGTCAGGCCAAACAGTCTGAGAAAGCCTCAGTTTGATCAAACCACAACACTTCAAACAGTGCTGGTGCTTTTCCTTTGCCAGCATGTTTTATATGCAACACCTGATTTTAGCTGCGCGTTTGTATCATAGCAACAACAACTGGTCAGCGATGGATGCAGATCAACTCCAAATAGCAGCGAGCAGGAGCCAAGCTGGCTGACTTTGTTCATGTAGAGCAGGCTGACGCGCTGCTCAGCTCCTACATTTTAACCCCAAACTGCATGGCCGAAGCTCCTCTGGCTGTGTTCCTGCTTCATCAGGCCTCCATCAGTGATCCAGGAGCAGGTGGAGCAGGTGGAGCAGCACACAGCAGAGCGATAACCAAGTGGCTCAGAGTTTTGAATCCGGTTTGTAGTTTATAATTGTTTCAAAGTTTGAGCAGCTACAGAGGGTTAAACCAGCTGCTCTGAAACACACAGATCTACACTGACGGGTGCACGGCAGCATGTCAAGCAGATGGAAATATTCTCTCATTTTTACGTCTTTTTACCTGATAAGAACAACAGGACACAGATTTACTGGCATCATAAACACACCACTCCCAACCTTCAAAGCGTCATAAATTCCAGTTATGAGTCCTTGATTATTTTTGTTGTTCAGTTGGTGTAAATCTGCAGATTTACCCGTTATAATGATAAGTTAGAGCAATAATTCCTATAAATGGATATAAAACTAGAGATGTGCACTTACATATCACACATTCACCATCTCCCAGACCCCTGCTTGCTTCCACTAACGGGTTTGCAGAAATCACAAAAACCACTCCAGACGCACGATTTGTGATCTGATCAGCTGTTCTTTGCACTTCCTACGTTGGAGCATACGTCATAACGTTGTGAGCATCAACTATTGTGTGGTTTCAGTGTGCCTTTAGCTGTGCAAACAGGAAGTGATGTCATTTTTGCAGGAACTGTAGTTTATTTCTCCTCCAACGCCTATCAAAGCTGGAATATTGGAAACAGTTTATTTTGATGCCTTGTTTGTCATTTTGCTCCAGTTTAGACTCAAAATACATTTCCTGTGGTTGGAAACTATTGTGTGCAACTTTTCTTTCTTACAATTTTGATATTTCTTATTGGCTTATTCCGCTTATTAAATAATGTATGTAATTACTGTGGACATTTTACAGACATATTAAACATATAAGGGTTGCATAGCAACTTGAAATGTTTTAAAAAACACATGTAAAATGTAAAGTTTAGCTCTGGCAGATTGTGAGATTATTTCTGATCGTTCATCAAACTACAGTATTTGGATATTAGAGGTGGGAATCACCATACATCCCACGATA